CAGGTTTTATGGGGTTTTGGAAACTTAATCGGTCAAATATAGGGCTGCCCATTTGAATTTTGCCAGATTGGTTTGCTGGGCCTATGTTGCCTTTGACACAGTATGGCAGCCCAGGAATGAGAATTACCCCCATCATGGCAAACCATTTTCAAAAGTAGACAGCCCAGGATATTCCAAAGGACTATGTCAAGTCTTTTTTTACTAGCCACTAGTCAAAAAACCTGGCCAAATGTAATATTCATATTTTTCTTTTGATTTTTTTTTCACTTAAACACTGCATTCTCACTGATGATATCATCATTATATGTTTTACTACTCCTATTTGTGTTCAGCAAAGTCTTATGAGTACAATGATACCCTACATGTACAGGTTTTAATGGAGTTTTAAAAAGTTACTGCCCATTTTAGTCTTTCTATATTGAATTTTGCTTTATCGGTTTGCTGGACCTATACTGGTACTTTATCACAAATGCATGCCACATTTAGTAGTTATGCTCTTATATTTTTCGCACACAAAATTTCCCTTTTCAAAGAAAATGTCATAATCCTGATATGTGATTATCTCTATAAATAGCCAGGGTATTTCCACTATTGTGACATACCATTTTCAAAAGTAGGCAACCCGAAATATTCCAAATAGTGAGTTGTTTGGTCTAGCTACTTTATTGCAAACTCAGACCACATTTAGTGGTTATACTTATTCGTCTTTTTTCACACAGATACATTTCATATTCACAGGAAATGTCATTATCCTGATATATTTCAGTGCAATAAAGCCTCACTATTTTCCCCTAATGCAATGTGGCAGCCCAGGAAAGAAAATTACCCCACATGGTGGCAAATCCTTTTTTCAAGTAGGAAACCCAGGTTTTTTTTTCCAAATGGCATATTTTGAGTTGTTTGGTCTAGCCACTTAATTATAAGTGCTGGTCACATTTAGTGGTCAGACTTTTTATTTGCTTTTTTGAGTTCCATTTTGACAGGAAATTTCATAAGCAAGATGAGTGTTCGCACAATGAAGACTAAAAACAAAATGCCGGGGCGTGGCTTGACCGGGAACCAAGATGGACGCGAGTCACTAGCGCTCCTCACCAACCCCAATACCGACAGCTAACAAACGCCACGAAAACGCGAATTCACCCTCTGTACTTATACCCACCATTGAGGATGGACAGGAGGACGCCCAGGAAGCAGCCCAAAAAAACCGCCGATGCGGCAGCTACAGTGCGGGATCTCTTTGCGGCCTCGCGGCATGGCCGCCATGAGGCCCAAGATGGCGCCGAAAACGACCTGCGGGTCTCCGCCATCCCCACGGACGCTGGCACACCCCAGATGCAACAGTCACCAGCACTGGAGACGGCACATATCCTTACAGAGATGGCGGCAATGAAAACTTTTCTGGCCCGGGAGATAGAGCGCAGCTCCAAAGCGGTAATGGCGGAAATTCACTCGCTGGGGGCGCGGACGACAGAGCTGGAGCAGCGGGTGGAGGCTACAGTAGAGGCACATAATACAGCAACAAACCATATTAACACGCTTACCGCGCGTGTAGAAGCAACAGAAGCAGCCCTGGAGGACCTGGCAAATCGCACACGCCGCAACAATATACGGGTAAGAGGCCTGCCTGAACAGCCTGACGAGGGCCCGCTCGCAGCAACAATACTTGCCATCCTCAAGCCTCTCCTCCCAGACGTCCCAGAAGAACAATGGCACTTAGACAGGGCACATAGAGCCCTCCGTGCCCGACGGGAAGACACCGCAAGGCCCAGAGACGTCATAGTGCGCTTCTTACACTACCGGACAAAAGAGGCAGTACTCAAGAGGGCCCGAGACACCCCGATCACCTACAAGAACACAGCGCTCACCTTATTCCAGGACCTGGCCCCCGTCACGCTCCAGCGCAGGCGTGAGTGGCGTCCAGTCACGGAGCTGCTCCGGAACAACTCAGTGCGATATGCATGGGGCCACCCCTTCAAATTGATGGTCTTCAAGCAGGGTAGGCCTCATGTTCTCCTGCCAGGAGCAAATCCTATACCGTTTCTACGCGACCTGGGGATAGCGCCCCCCAACGACCTCAGATTGCCTACGACCGCGCTCCCAGCGCTTCGCACCCTGCCGAGAGACTGGCATATGGCCGCGGGCCAATATGGCACAAACGAACAGCAAAGCAAAAAAAAAAAAAAACTCACCCTAGCTGCCACCCACAACGTTTTATTCACCCGTTCTCTTTCAAGACAATTTCACCAGTGACTCTCAGAACTCAGAACGCAACCAGCAAGATGCCACCGGAGAACATTTCGCAACCCGTCAAGGAGCAGCGCTGAGACCAACACCTGCAATGAGACCACCCGCCAACCACATCAGCATCAGGACTGGGGACAAGCACTTCCAGCTGCAACAACAAGGCCGCTACCCCGACCTGCGAAGGACACAAATGGACTGATGGCCAGCCTTGCGTCTGCCACGGCGGCCCCCGACATCTCTCATCGGAACTGTAATGTATTTCTGGACTCATATATATAGGTTTTGGGGCACAGACAGCACACGCAAGCTCCTCTCACACACACTTAGAGAAATGGAACACAATAGGATTGACAGACAGAAATTCATCCCTATTACCGAAACACACAAAAAAAATAAATAAAAAATAAAAATTTTTAAAAAGGGGAAAAACCATCCACATAACTTACCAACACGACGAAGATCCACACACGAGACACGCTCTCCAGCACAACCAGGGGTTACACTGGAAACACAGTAGGCCAGACATACAGCTGGGAAGAAGAGCCACACACCGTATACGGACAGCCTGATGTTTCACCAGAGTACATGATGTTTATGTTTGATTGTATGCAAATGTTTAATTGTAATGCAAACTGTATGCTAATAGCCCAAACTCACGCCTACTCATGTAGCCCCCATCCCTTACCCCCCCCTTTTTTAATTCACTTGCTTATTACCAGAACATACGTTGAGGGAAGGGACGACAGTCCGAACAGAGATGCTTGGGAGGGAGATCAGAGCAGGCCAGACGTAGCAAGGCTCCATATATAGACAGCCCCACTTCTGCAATACCATTGCGGGCGCTACGTTGCGTTACCATCGACTGTGGAGTAAATAGACTATAGCTCCCACCCCCCGGAACTCCCATCATACACCCCAGCCAATAGACTACATGTACATATGGAACCCAGGCCGGGAACGCCTTAAGGATCCTATTGGACCCTGTACAGGCCGTATACAACTCTGAGAGCCCAAAGAGACGGGACCTTTTCCACCCATCATTCCTCTCCAACTTATCACTTCGAACGCGGACTCACTACTGACCTTCTCCAAGGGGTCCTACCCTTCCCCCTCAGTTAACATCCCCATCCCCGGTACACGGGAAATTCGCACCCACAATAAGCTCCACAAAACAGAGATGCTTGGCATATCATGCCTACAGCAATCCTTACGGTATAGGGGCCACCCTCGGTGGCTTGGTTCATGACCCAGACCCCTCGGGCGGCAAGAGCCCTGAAGGAGGTAAGGACCCAAGTACCCCCCCATAGTCTGGCAAGGCATAAGACCAGACGGGTTTACCCCCCTCAGATTTCCTACCTCCCTCCCCCATCTTTCCCCCGCACGCCATTCTACACGTCTCCACACTGCAGATCAACCCACTCCTTACCATCACCTTGGTCACTAATTGCTACGACAATATCCTCCCACGGGAACCCCACTCCTACTGAGGGGAGGCGGAGCAGAGATGGGAGTAGATCGCCCCCCACGCCATGCCCCACACGGCTAGATAACACAAGAATCACCTTCACTCTACCATCATGGCACTAAAGATATCCTCACTAAATGTTAAGGGCCTCAATTCACCACGCAAGAGACGCACACTTTTTAGGGAGCTAAAAAGACTTAACCCGGACATCGCGTACCTGCAGGAGACGCACTTACCTAGATCCGCCCAGGTCTCCCTCCGTGACCATTTCTACCGTGTGGCAGCAGAAGCCCGTGCCTTCCAAAAACGAAACGGGGTAACTATCCTCGTTCATAAACGATGCCCTATACGCCTCACTCACATAGACAACGACACAGAGGGCAGATACCTTATAGCGACGGGCCAAATCTACACACAAACCATACATCTAATCAACATTTACGCTCCCAACACCCCATCCCTACAATTCTGGAACCAACTGGCAGATAAAGTCCTGTCACTACCCAATGGAGTGGTGATACTAGGGGGCGACCTCAACGCTACCCCTTCCCCAGCTGCAGACAGAAGCTCCCGCCCGGGACTAGCCAGATCCCACGGCAAAGGAGGACAAGACAAACAACTCAACGACTTCATACGTAAAACGGGTCTCATAGACGCGTGGAGGGCACAACACCCCAGCCATAAAGATTACACCTACTACTCTGCCCCCCACGACACCTACTCTCGTATTGACATCTTTCTGACCAACCAAATAGGCTTCACTAAAACCCAAAAAACAGAAATAGGCACTATAGCCTGGTCAGATCACGCAGACATAGCCATCTATCTGGAAGGCCTATATAGTCCAACCCCGTGGACATGGAAGCTCAATACCTCCCTCCTCAATGACCCACTAGTTGTAACTGAACTACAAACACAACTACAGACATATTTCACAGAAAATCTAACGCCAGATGTCCCGATGACTGTAATTTGGGCAGCGCACAAAGCCGTCATTCGAGGACACCTTATCAAAATAGCGACACATAAGAAGAAATTGAAAACCCAAAAACTGACCCAACTTCTAGATTCCCTTCGTAAAGCGGAACAGAGCCACAAAACAGACCCAAATCCGCAAACGTTACAACACCTACACGACACGCGCCTTGCTATCAGGCAGCTACTAATAAACAACACAGCGCGAGCACCAACGTGGACTAAACGGACATACTACGACAAATCGAATAAGATGGACACACTACTCGCTCGTACACTCCGCCCTAGAACGCAACGCCCTCACATTACATCCATACGAGCCCCCGACGGCACCATGAAAACCACACCGACAGAGATAGCGCAGACTTTTACCTCCTATTACGAAGCCCTATACAACCACACCCCCCAAGGCCATATGCTCACTCAGACAGCCTGCCAGAGGACATCGGAATTCTTAGCGCGCCTCAACCTACCCAAACTCCATACCGCAGCCATAGAAGAATTATCGGCCCCAATCACCACAGACGAAATCAATATGGCCATATCCTCCTTGAAGAGCAACAAAGCCCCGGGCCCTGACAGCTACGAGGGGAGCTACTACAAAACCTTTCGCGAGACACTACTCCCACACATGGAGACCTTATTCCGCGAACTACTCGAGGGAACCCCTCCTACCAAAGACATGACACAAGCACTTATCATACTCTTACCCAAACCAGACAAGGACCACACCCTACCAGAAGCATATAGACCCATTTCACTAATAAACCATGATAGTAAAATCTTTGCTAAAATACTGGCGACAAGACTAAACCCGCATCTCACGCGGCTCATCCACGCAGACCAAGTCGGGTTTATCCCCGGCAGACAGTTATTTGAAAATACCAGACGGAACATAGACGTGATATGGACACTCACCACAACCAACACACCAGCGATTGCCCTGTCCCTAGACGCTGAAAAAGCGTTCGACAGGGTGAACTGGCCGTACATGTTCACGCTACTAAGCCACTTAAACATACCCCCCACCTTCATCACGGCAGTACGGGCGCTATACACAGACGTGACAGCCCAAATACAGCTGCCCGGATCAAACAGCCCACGATTTAACATCTATAACGGTACTAGACAGGGCTGCCCCCTATCCCCGTTACTTTTTGCACTAACACTCGAACCCCTTTTACAGGCGATCAGAGAACACCCCGAAATTACGGGGGTAAAGATAACAGACCAAGAGTTCCTGGTCTCCGCATACGCGGATGACGTTCTCATCACATTAACTAACCCCATCCGCTCCATGCGCGCGCTGATGCCCCTCTTGCAAAACTATAGTACAATATCAGGCTACAAAGTCAACATGGAGAAATCCAGCGCACTCCCAATACTACTCGCGCAGAATGAGACCACCCAAATCACGTCAGACTATCACATACGCATGGCACCGACCTACCTCTCCTACCTCGGCATAAAACTGCCGGCAGATCTCACGAAACTACACCAACTTAACTACTCCCCGCTAATCACTAAACTCATAACGGACATGGAGACCTGGGCGGATAAACCCATATCCTGGATTGGCAGGATACACTCAGTAAAGATGAACATTCTACCCCGTATTCTTTTCCTATTCCAGGCCTTACCCATCCCCATAACGAAACAAGACTTAAAGCCTCTACAGCAGGCCATTGACCGCTTTATCTGGCACAACAAAAGGCACAGAGTGGCCCATAACATTCTATATCGCCCCAAGCCCAGAGGGGGATTAGGCCTACCACACATACATTTCTACTACATTGCAGCCCACTTGACACAAATAGCGATGTGGCACACCCCTCCGGACACCAGGAGATGGGTGGACCTGGAATCCCTGATTATGAAATCGGACCTTCCTCAGTTTTACATATGGACCCCGAAAGAGCACAGAGCACTTTTAAGGACTACCTGCCCAGCTATTACAAATTCGATTCACATCTGGGACAAATATGCCACAAAATACGAACTAACAACATCGTCCTCCCCCCTCACCCCCATATACAGAAATAGGGCATTTATTCCAGGCATGAGACCCAGAGATTTCAAAGGCCTGGAAAATGCAGACCTACAAAGAATTCATCAACTCTACACAGGTCACGACATAATCACCTTCGCTGAATTACAAACCAGAACAACCCTAACCCCCGCAGATTTCTTTAGGTACCTCCAGCTAAGACACTATGCTACCCAAGAATCTGTTAAAAGAGCTGCACTAGCTAAACCAACATTCTTTGAAAACATATGCCTGGCCGAACGCTACCAAAAGGGATTGATCTCCCTCTTGTACTCCCATCTCTGCTCCACTACACGGGACTGGGGCGCCCTCCACTACACAGACAAGTGGGAAACCGACCTTGGGGAAACATTAGAGGGGATAGACTGGCAGGACATATGGCAGGCCACTGCTAAAACCTCTATTTGCGTCACGATGCAAGAGCAGGCCTACAAAACGATGTTCAGGTGGTATACCACCCCTGTTCAGCTATACCACATGAAAAAAACACCCACAGACCTCTGTTGGCGCAATTGCGGGGAGAGAGGGACGTATACCCATATGTGGTGGCACTGCCCTAAGATTAAAATTTACTGGACGGCCATTCAAACCTTCATGACCCAAATATTTGATAGGCCAGTGACATTGAACCCATGGACGTTCCTACTGGCCAGACCTCAGGAGAATTGGTCTAAACCAAACCAGCATCTGTTTAACAAAATAACCTTAGTGGCCAGGAGAGCGATAGCCCAGATCTGGCTACAGCAGGACACCCCCTCAGTAGCAATAGTGATTAACAAAATCAAAGAATGCCACTTAATGGACAAACTCACGGCCCAAATTAGGGGCACAACCAAAGCTTTTACTAAGACGTGGGAACCGTGGGAGACCTATAATGACCAGTAAGACCAATAAAGACCATGTAGCAGAAAGGAGTCGCAACCGCGAACGATAGACTGCAGTAACCTCCCCCCCCCTTACCCCTCTCCACTCTACCTCAACTTCTCTCCCCCCACCCGGACCACGACCGTTTGGACCGAGATGACCGGTATCCCGGCCCACAGTTCAGTTATTATCTGTTTTTGTTTTTCTGCACATACTGTTCTTGTTGAAACAATAACACCAACAACAACAACGGATGAAAGTAGAGATGTTAAAACTCTTCATATGTACCTGGCATGTTTATGTACTATTGAAACGCTCTTGCACGAGCCAAACCCTTTGCATTGTCTACTCCATACCGTTGCAAAAATAAAGAATTTAAAAATAAAAAAAAATGATAGCAGTTGCAGTATGGCTGCTATCAATCTAAAAAGTCAGTCCCAATCATCCTGTGCAATGGTTGGAACTGCTTTTTGAGGATAAATTACTAATGTTAGCATTTACTGCTGGTTAAGGAATTGGGAAACAAAATTTGTCCCTGTAGAGCAGTATTCTGATGGGCAGACCCACTAAGAAATGTATCAAAGAGCAGCTTTAACAAAAGCGATTGTTTTTATGATTACTCAATTCTATATTTTTGGTGCATTATTTAAAGAAAGCAATGGATTGTAAAATTTGTGACCCATATACAAATACACACAAAAATATTTCATTATTAAAACAAAGAATTAAAAAAAAAAAAAAAAAAAAATGCCACATTTAGTAATCATACTTTTGTCTTTTTTTCACACACATAAATTCCTTTTTGAAAGGAAATTTCACAATGGGTTAGTGCAATAAAGACTAAATAGTTTTTAACTAACATTGTCTCCCTAAAATAGAAGGGCCCCATGTTCTGGTTTTGCATGTTTTTTTATATTAGACTTCACAGCCCTTTTCAACTAAGAAAATTGACTGATTGATTTTCTGGGCTTGTCGCCTTTGAAACATTAAAGCAGCCTGAGTAATAACATTGAAACCATTATGACATACCATTTTCAGAAGAAGGCAACCCAGAGTATTCCAAACAGTGTATTTTGAGTTGTTTGGTCTCGCTACTTTATTATAAACTCAGGCCACATTTAGTGGATATACTTTTTTTTGGTATTTTTTCACACACATAAATTTCATTTTCCCAGGAAATGTCATAATCCAGAAAAGTGATAGCGCAATAAAGCTTAAAATCCAATTAGGCCAAGGTCAGGAAATCCAGAAATCAGAGCCAACAAGTCAGTGTAGGCAGCTGACAAAGTGTAATTAGGACAAGTGGAAGTCACTAATCAGGAATGACATAAAAAAATCACATACGGAGTTTTCTGAATTAATAGTTTAACTCTGTATGGTACACTATAAAACATTCAAACACACATAGGTCAGGTAGAGATGGGCAGTAAGGGCAATAATATGTAGAGTCTCTTCTAACTTCTCTTTTGTAGCAGACACCTTTTCTGGGGTGACTTTTTGTGGATTTTGAGGGATTATACTAGGGGAGTGTCTTCCACATAGTCTTTTGACATCCTCAGATTGCAATGTCAGAAGGTTAGGGGGCTCGTGAAATAAAATATCGGACAAAATCTTCACGGTGAGCTCTAGGAAAGTGTATTGACTCCCTGTGACTGCTTTGTGACTGTGACAGCTGAAGAAATGCTTTACTATGGGGAGGGCTTAATGCGCACACAGCACTCACCAAAAGGAGATGGAATCGGGTGAGTAAACAACGTTTTAAACCCTTTAACTACATCTGGAGGAGCCGAGAGGGAGGAGGGGACCGCAGGGGACTATAGTAAAAGGAATATAACTTTGTATTCCTTACATTATAGAATCACTTTAAGGTAATTGAGACTTATCTGTACTTACAATGCATTTCTCAAACCAACAGAATCTTCAACAGCATGTATTGGCAAAGTAAAAGATGGCTGTGTGAAAACTATAGCTCTCTGCTAACCTTACCTCATATCAACATTTGGAGCTATAAATGTTGGATAATGGGAAGTGGTGTGGAACCTGCCTTTACAACAATCTACATAGAGATCGGGTTGTTCTCTCCTCTCTTTCTTTTTACTAGCGTTCATTACTCACTTGTTTTTAAGCTTTTTCCAATGTTCTTTTACTTTTTTATTTCTGTATATTGACAACCTTTTCATCCATAAAGTTTACTGCCTCACACCACCCCTCATTACCTCTTCCTCTCTGAGAATTTTTCACGGGTCTCATATTATCTTTTTACTAGTAGGGCATAGTCACGTTCATACATATAAATATATATTTATTTTATTTTATTTATAAAATATTTTGCCAGGAAGGATACACTGAGATTTCTCTCGTTTTCAAGTATGTCCTGGGCCCACAAAACATTGCATTGATACAAGAGGGTACAATAAATTACAAAAACAATAATAATACACAATATATACAAAATTTAACATAGAACAGGTGAGAAATATATAATCAACCATGACAGGTGCATTCTGTTTTGAGATATAAGAGGGAAAATGATTGATCAGGGGTCAGATAGTTAGGTAATACTTACATAGTTGTGTATGGATGCATTTTTCTAAGATTTTTGAGAATACTGTGAGCAATGATATTGGGCGATAGTTGGAAACCAAAGTAGTGTCAGCACATTTATGAATAGGCACTACTCTCGCAGTCTTCCAAAGTTTGGGTATATATCCAGACACTAAGGATTCGTTAATTAGGGTTGTGACAGGTTTAACAATTGCTGGCGCACTGAGATTCAACAGCATTGCTGGGATTTGATCAGGTCCAGACTGGTTTTTCATTTTTTAGATTATTAAGGTGTTTCTTAATGAAACTAATAGGTACAGGTCTAAAATTAAACTTGTCCAAACTGGGTCTTTGCAAATTTAGTGGGGCCTGATCCACATTTGTAGTTTCAGGAGGAGTGTCATTTATTAGCTTGGCAATCAGGATGGTGGAGCATCCGACAAAATAATTGTTAAAGGCATTTGCTACATCTAAAGGGAAGTTGCAGGGTTTGGTTCTCCACTTTGACAGTGGAGGGTTGGGAGTGGATTGGGGGAGTTTGTAAGTTATTTACGAGTTTCCAAAAGTAGAGTTGAGTGAACCCGGACTGTAAAGTTCGGGTTCGTACCGAACATTAGGTTTTTTGGACCCCGGACCCGAACACGGACATATCACTGTATGTTCGGGTTGAAGTTCGGTGTTTGGCGATTTAATGCCGCGTTTTCAAAGGCTGCAGGGCAGCCAATCAACAAGCGTTTGACTTGTGTGCCCTTAGAAGCCACCACAGCCATGCCTACTAATGGCATGGTTGTGATTGGCCAGTGCAGCATGTGACCCAGCCTCTATATATAAGCTGGAGTCGCTTAGCCCCGCACACGCATGAGGTCTTATTAGTGTAGGGAGAGGATGGTGCCGCTGTGAGGGACAACTTAGGAAAGAATTCTGCAAACTAGTACATTAGTGGGTGCTATTCATATCTGAGAGTCAAATAGAAGCGTCAAATACTGCTGTCACATTGCAGTTTTAAAAAGTCCATTTTTTTGGGTGCTAAAAAGTAAATTAGTGGGGTGAGCTTCTTATTTGAGAGTCAAACAGAAGTGTCAAATACTGCTGTCACATTGCAGTTTTAAAACTTAAAAATTTTTGGGTGCTAAAAAGTACATTAGTGGGATGCACTTCATATCTGAGAGTCAAATAGAAGCGTCAAATACTGCTGTCACATTGCAGTTTTAAAAACGTAATATTTTTGGGGTGCAAAACTGCTAAATAGTATTTTAGTGGGGTGCACTTCATATATGAGAGTCAAATAGAAGCGTCAAATAGGGCGCTAACAGCGCAGTTGTAAACATTTGAATTGTTTTTGTGCTAAACTGCTAAATAGTACATTTTGGGGCGTGCTCTTCAGCCGATTTGTGCTACAATGTAATTACAGGACCCACCATTGTGACATGCTAAAGAACTAAACTGGCAGTCGCTGGAATCCAGACGCACCCTTCATCTTTCCAGCCTTGTGTTTAAGAGCTTTTTTGGAAACTCCCACCCTAGCTGAACAAAATGCTTTCCCCAGCTGTTCCCACTTCCTATAAGCTCCGATCCAGTACCAACACTCTACTTAGTCTACGTCAATACATAAAGAAAGCAGCCTGATCCTGCTTCTCCTACAGAGCACCGCAATTGTGGAATGACCTCCTGCACAATTTAAAATCTTCCCTAAGCCTAAAGTCCTTTAAGTCCTACATACATCAAAACAGAATGCACATGTTCTATGTTAAATTTTGTATTTATTGTGTATTAATATTGTTTTTGTATTTTATTGTACCCTAATGTAACGAGAGAAATCTCACTTTATCTTTCCTGGTAAAATATTTTATAAATAAATGAATATCTGAGAGTAGGGCCGGACTGGGAAGGAAATTTGGCCCGGGCATTTTTTAATTACAGCGGCCCACTAAAAAGGGGGCGGGTCCAGATAGGGTGTGTTTTGTCATCACCAATGACAAGCACGCCCCATCAGAAAGTGAGAATATTGGTTCAATACTCTTCCAAGGTAGACCATGCGCAGAGCTCTGCTGAAGAGCTCCAACATGAGAAAAAGACCCTGTATTTGTTTTGCACA